GCAATCCATCGCCCCAACACAAATCCAAAAAAAAAAAATGCAAATAACGAAGTTCAGAAAGTTAATAAAATCCCGCAAATATAAAAAAATAAAAAATAAAAGGACAGAAATAAAAGGAAACAAAACAAAAGCACTGTTTGAAACGAAACTACTAACTAACAGAGAAGCAACCTTTTTCATAGCCAATCTCTGCAACTTGGGAACCTCCTCCAACAACCTAGCCTTGGTTCGACGAATCTCGGCATTGATCGCTACCGTAGATGCCTTAGTTTTCTCCTTGGGAGCGGTTTCCGCTTTCTGCACAAAATAGACTCTACACACTATCACACAAGTTTGGGAAAATAATCCTCCAAAATGTTTCACGAATTAGGGCACAAATTCCCCAATTAGTAATGAGATTGAAACAAGTGTGACCTGAAGTAAGGCTTCGATATCGGCGTCGACGGAGGCGTAGAGTTTGGCGAATGCATCGTCGGCGGAGATATTGGAATCCCTCTGCTTTGCGACGTCGTATTTGTCGTACTTTTGGCAAATGGAATCAACTCTGGTGAGAATGTCGATGACACTCATTGTGTTGTTGTGGAGTCCACTGTTACAGCTTGATCCGTTTGTTAAACTGAACGCACACAGTCACAGACTGTTACACCCTCCAGCCTGTAACAACTGTCAACACTACCAACTCCTTTCTTTCTTGCTTCCTCTACACCGCCCATCATCGTCTTTTGTGAGTAATGCATAAATTTCTCACAAATTCCAAGTATCTGTGTTTATTCATTATTTCACTTTATTGCACTTTTTTTCTCTAATATAAGATAATGATATCATTTTGATCAATTAATTTCAATTAAATATATGATATAACTATCTAAAAAAGTTAATTAGAAATATAAGATATAGTAGAAACATGTGATAAATAAAATAAAATCAAAATGTATATATAAAATTTAGTAATTAAAATATATATACTTATTTATTTTCTTCCCAACAAACTATACATTTCTAAAATTCTTACCCAGCTCGAACTATCTCCAGTAGAATATATAGGGAAAAAATATATATATACATCTCCAAATTTAACAAGTTTGGAACATTAATTTATTTATGGAAGAAAAATAAAATGCTACACGTACCTTTATTTAAATTTTACAATATTTTATTTTCTGGGTGATAAAAGAGAAATTTGTCACGAGAGATCTAATGACACAACTGACATTAAAAAACAAGTCTTTAAAGAGATGTTTGTCCGTCAAGCAAGTGCATTGAACAAAATAGTAGAAAATGACTTGACTAGGAACAGGAGGCTTAACAATTTGCAGGAATAAATGTTATGGTCGAACCAAATTTGCACCACAATTCAAGTATGCACCTTCTGGTTAGCAATCAACTCTTTAACATAATTTTTCTAATATATATACTCTATTGTTGATTAACATTTATTAAAAAGGAGATTTAATAATATAAAAATGAAACCTAACAAAAATATGCCATTAGTATTCCTGACATCAAATCAGAAGACCCAAGTGATTTGAGGACGGAACAGGTAGCGTGACCATCCATTGCATTGCAATAGATTCCGTAACAAAAGGCACAAGAAGGAAGAAAAACATAGAATACAGGTGAATCACAAGTGAAGAAAAAGAGATTTATCTAACTCATAATAATGTATAACATAACACTACCAGGGTCCCATAACCCTTTCATCCTGCGCCAATTACTCTATATAAAGCACCGTTCCGAAACTCGAGTTAATGCTAAAATAACTTGGGGAGATTGGGTCAACGAAATCCGCTAGCCACTGATAGAGGTAAATAATGATCACAAGACTGACACAACTAGAATGCATTTGCTTTTCAATGCATCTTTTCTTGATTTTAAGATGCTTCGTTGAAATTACATTTTCAAATACATTCCAGCTAAATTCGTGTACCACTAAGCACGTTGCAAATGAAAAAAGTAAGTGGGGACCTAGTGTGAATTAATGCTGCTTATAAATATTGTCGATCCAGGCATTAGCCAATGCATATGCTCTCGTTCTTTGTGAATTAGGTCCACTGTCAACACATATCAATATGGCCCCTTCTTTATCTCTCTTTTCCTTCCATTGCACTATACATTATTCATCTACCACATGTTACCTTTTTGCCCCCACAGTTGATTTTTGTTTTCCTATCGCCGTTCAAGTCAAAATTTGCGTTTCATCTTTTTTCCCTTTTATCATCATTCTCATAATATAAATACTTTTGTAACAAAATATTATTTTCGTTCGCAACACAAGTGCTCATATATCATATTGAAACAACAAAGTTAAGTAATTGAGTTTCTTAATTATGTTTACAGATGGTTTGGTTTTTTGGTTGTACGTGCCGAGAATATTTGTTGGAGACAAAAATTTATTTCAATAATCTCTACATTTAAATAAAAATAGTCTCTAACTATCGGTTATAAATTAAAATAAATATTTGATGCAAACAATTAAGTATTGTGTAAACAATTTTATATTATTATTCAACTATACAATGTCACGTTTTTAAAGAAAATGTGTGGTTTAAGTAAGAAGTTTAATGATTATACATTGTTATTATAACAAATTTTACACTATTGATGAATTAAAAATTATTATTGATATAAGTTTTAAGATAATTAATATAAATTTTAATAAAGTATTATACATAGTAAAATTACACTATTAATGTATAGTCTATTTTTATTTAATAATTACTATGAATATTTTTTTATTTATGAATTTAGTGAGCATGTATTGGTAGTAATTTTTTTTAAATAAATTCAATTAGTTAAAAAATTACTTTTAATATAGTTATTATAAAAGTTATCAAAATACTATACATAAGAATTTGTGATTAAATAACTTAAATTGACAAAACATGCATTATTTTTTTTAAAATCACAGACTTTATATATAATGATTGTTAATATATATATATATATATATATATATATATATATATATGTGTGTGTGTGTATATTATAATAAATATAAACAAAATATTATAATGTTATACTTGATATTAGTGTTGTAAAATTGGATTAATAATCAATTTAGTTAAGATAGTATATCAGTATGTTATTAGTTGGATCACATAATATACGTAGTATCAAACAATATATTGGTGTAATTGTTTAATACTCTCTCAAGTATCCACACGAGTTAGAACATATAACGGGTGGATGTATAGAGAAACACACACACAACAACAAAGTTTTTATCTCCTACGTGAGGTTAACTACATGAATTGGATGATGTCAGTTTCAAATAATTTATTTATTACATGATCAAGACAACTTGTAACTTCTAATATTCATTTTGGTGGAAGTTAGATTATTTGTATGTTGTATTCTTTTTTTATGTCCCACGCCCATTTTAACAATTTTATTTTTGCTTCTTTCACCTTTTTTTTATATATTTTTTTTTATCGTGTTTCTTTGAAGTCTAACATTCATTACTATAAAATATAAGCAAATAACATTCCAAAAATAGACGTAATTATATATATATATATATATATATATATATATATATATGACTCAAGTGAGAATATTGGTTATAAAATATTATTACTGTTATCATCATTATTACTATCATTATTATAATTATCATCACTTCTACCATCACCATTTAATTGTGACAATGAAAATAGTGATGATGACGACGATTATGGTAATGATGATTAAATATATTTTTTTTTTAATAACTCATATTATACATTAAATATTAATGATCTAATTATGAATTAAAAAATTTTAATGTATAAATTTAATTTACAAATCTTTAAAAAATTGAAAATTATTTAATTTTTTTTCATTAATTCAAATCAACATAAATCAATGAAATGAAGTATTAAATATTTTAAAATTTAGAAAAAATATTTCAGGCTTAATCTATATATTAAGAACTTTAAATTTAACATAAATGTAAAATATGAGTTATCTAATGAAGTGAATCTACCTATATTTATTTCACTCAATAATTCATGTTTTACATCAAAGTCTAACAATCTAATTATTAAATTAATTTTTTTTAATAAATAAATAAAGTCTTTAATAATTTAAAATATTTTAAAATTATTTAATATTTTATTTTCTTAACTTAAATTAATATATAAAATATTTTTATAATTATTTGTCAATTTAAATTAACAAATCAAATATAAAAAATTTGCATACTTTATGACTCTGAGGTCCTCCTTAGAAATAGGTGAAGTTTCACCACTTCCTATTCTTAAAGATTAGGTAAAGGACCCTTGAATTGAAGGAAAGTATAAATACAAGGTCACAACAATAGGTTTGACACTTTTATACAAGATCTTCGTTGAAAATTCGAGTTCAGTATTTTATGGAAGAATTTAAAAAAAAAAAAAAAAAGAACAAATTTGGCAGAGTAATTTTTTAAGTTGTCTATGATTGTGAAAAGATTTAAACAATACACCTTTTTACATGTATTTATATATATATTTTTCAATTTTAAACATAAAATAATAAAATTCTTTCTATAACGATGATAATTCTGTGAAATATATTTTATTATTTTTGTGTTAATTTTAAAATAAAGATTGCGAATATCTATGACCTGAATAAAACTTTTATAAAATACAAAATATTGAATTAACAAATATTTTAAAATTAACGAGAATATATAAATAAATAAAAATGGTTCTGTTGGTAATTAAAATAAAACTAGAAATATGACAAGTATTTGTTTTTGTTTCGGCGGTTTTTAGTCATTGGGTTGTAGTAAAGACGCGTGTGGTGGGCGGGCGCGAAGCATATGACGATGCATTTTTGCGCCACGCGAGCAAGGCACCACTAAAAAAGCATGACCATCGTGGTTGAAATAAAATAAAATAAAATCCGAAAAGCAATTGAAACATGGAAGCATTAAGTGGGATTATGAATTACAATAAATAGAAATTGAAAATCCTAAACGATTTTTTATCATCAATGAATGAAAGAAGTTAATAGTAGCATACGGATTGCATCGGTAACCGGTAAGAACGTGGCAGTCGAGACTCGAGAGAAAGGGAATTTCTCCTCCTCCACCAGCCGCTTTATTTCGTTGTCTTCTTCTCACAACAAACCCCTCACACCTTTCTTCTTCTTCTTCTCTTCTCTTCTCTCTCTCTCTCTCATCTTCCGTGTTTAAGATCCTCACTCAAACGACGCCGTCTCCGCTCCGATTCCTCAGCCACGTTATTCAGGTTGATTCTCTTCTTTCAATTCCGTTTTCTCACGCTTATTAGTTTCCCTGCTTCTGCGATAATTTTATGTCCACGATCATACGCTTTCCCTTTCTCTTTCCTTGATTCTCGGTATGCACTCGCTCGATCAGTTTCGCCTTTCTCTCTGATCTTTCTCGCTTGTTGTTGATTTGTTTCCGATGCATCTTCAGCCCGATTTTCCAGTTTACAAGTTGTCACATGTCTCTTTTACGATGTCGCTGATCCTCATATTGTTTGCTTCGTTGAGACTTTTCGATTTCCTTTGGCAAATTTCTATGATTAATCGGATTTTTTTTTAATTAGTTTTGTTTGCGTTTCGCGTTCCTTGGTTTGCTAGAGAGAGACTTATCAAGTGTCTGGTTAGGATGGTAGAAAACATTGTAAGTCCACATATGTTTTCATCTTAACATTGATGTATCCACTTCTTATGTTGTATAAAAGTGAGAATAAGGAAAAATATTGTAAATCGTTGAATGTGGTGGCATAAGATTACTATTATTTTGCAAGTGAATCCATCCATACTCCCTTGTTTAAGGACGTCATGTGAGTCTTTAGTCATAAGCTTTTAGTTCTGTTTCTCACTGACAACCTTTTTTGGTATGTTTTCTGCTTTCTCTCCTAAAGGAATCTTACTGTGATTTAGTAGATTCTTTAGTTGTTGAAGTTTTCGGGCACTGCTGCATTTAGTTATGTAGGTCTGATTTGAAGTGCCTTAACCACCCCTTTTTGTCTGCTCGTGCTGCTTGATGGATAGACAGAGCAGAAAGATTTCTCACTGAACATCTCTTTGCAGCGGAGGGGAAAAAAGTGAATATATGTTTCTTTTTACCACATGATGTACATAATTTTCTTTTGCATGTTTTTCATGTCCTGTTTTTAAGTTAGAATTTCCTCCCTTGCCTTGTGAAAGTAAGGGAAAATCTTAGCGCAATGTGTTTGCTCATGTTTTGTTGTCTATATATGTGCATCACCGGGGTTGCTGCAGTTCCTGTTTTCCAGTATACTGGTTCATCTTTATACTTTGATGTGTCTTTGCAGCTTAACTAACTTGCTGAATACTGATTGTCTGTCAAGAATTATAGTTTTGTATATTGGATGCTTTGGAAGATATTGTTGGTATGGTTTTTATAAGATTTCCTTAGAATCAATTAGGTTTAGATGTTTTTTTATTATGCAGGTTTCTTGGTGCTGTTGGTGTATTGTACATTATTATTTCTACATGTGCTGGTGAGATGCGCTTTCATTGGAAATTCTCCTTCATTCCCTGTTTCCTACCTTTTCTTAATAATGATTTACTCTTCATAGTTCTTTACAAAAAAGGTTTATTTATATACACACTTGTACCTGTGGCTGTGGGTTTAAACTTTAAATTTATTATTATTATTGGCAAAAATTGGTTTTGCCTTTGCATTTGCATTGTGCAGGTTTCAGAAGTGTGTGATTTCTTCTCTATTCCATTACATTGTCTGAATTGCAGATGGTGTTGTAGATCCTTTCCAATCTTTGATTAAAGGGGTGACTGACTATAGGGCTCATGAGTGACGGCTTTGGCATGTTCTGTTTTCTCAGGACGTATTAGCATGATATGCCGCAGTTATGGAGTGTTGTAAGCCAACTTTCATATAGGAAGAAAGATATCTTGTGCCAAAGAATATCTGTTAAGTGGAAGAATTGTATAGGCCTTGTTCAGCTGCATTGTGTATACTTTAGATCATGGTCATCCTTCTTCTGAGGTTGGATGGTTGTTTAGCATGAAATTGAAATGGCCTAGCTATTGTTCTGAGGATATTGTGGCAATAGACCGGTCACATCCAATGTTTAGTTATGCAAGATGTCGTTCTGGGCTGTTTACAGAAAACTTAGGGATGGTCATGGAACTTTTCATATACCATTCTTGTAGTTATAAGTGGTGCTCTGAAGTGCTAAAATATGGATGTTGGTAAACCTCAGTACTATGATACAATCTACATGTAACATTTAAATGTTCTTGTTGAGTGCTTGTTCTCTTAATATGGAATCTGCTGTGGAAGTGGTACTGTTTAGTAGGGGCTGGTATGATGAGTTTAGAAGTACAAGTTTCATAGAGCTTTCACAACACATTAACATGCACTATGCAGACTGCAATTTTGAACCATTAGGGCATATCATAGATGGAGGAGGCTGCTATAGTGCTATGCTTCCTTGCTTAAATGACATAGACTTCCTTTTATGTCAGTTTAGCTTCTGATTCTGCAAGTTGGTTTGTCCAATAATGCAACAATTCATGGTTGGGATTGGTATAATGCAGGATGATTCTTTATTTTGATGTGAGCTTATGAGTTCGTTGACATGGAAGCTGATTGATAGGCATGAGTTGGTTATATCATCTTCACTCATGGGTCTAAATGTTGAGGAAAGAAATGAAACTAATGTCAAGGTGTTGTTAACCTAGCCAGATTGCAGGCACAATTCATTTTGCTTTACCTGTTTATGGGGGATGGAAAATATATTACTTCCATGTTCGAGCTTGTACATCCTAATTTTTAATTGTCATGCCTTATTGGGGGGCAGTGGACAGTCTTAACAGGACATACAATTGTCTTTGGTTGTGAAGAAAATTTATTCAAATTGGATATGGCAACATGTTTCAATTGTTGGTATTCTGGTAAAAGGAAACTTTCTATGTGGAGATGGCCATACTACTACAACTGTCTTTGATGCTTTTGTACTTATTTGGAAATTTCCCTACTTTTATGTAAAACCAATATACCCATGATTATAGCTTGATAGATGAACATAAATAATAATGCGATTGGGAGAAATAAAATATCACATGAAAAATTATTTAACAGTGAAATCTTTGCACTTTGAAAGCATAATGACTGATTGACTGTTTTGATGTTTGGAATTTGGATATCATCTAGTATTTGGATTTTAGAGAAATCTGAAACTGAAGTTTAATATTAAGTGAAAGCCATGCTTAATATAATTTTCTGATGTTTGATGTCTTCAATAAGTAATAGTTTAATAATACTTCACCATTGAGTTTTTATCATCTTGTTAGTGTGTTTGGATTATCTTACTTTGTGTTAACAAAAACTTAAAATAAAAAATGCTCACTGAACTGTTTTTGTGTAAAAATTAAGTATAACAGAACATATCAGATCACTGGAATATAATCAAAATTACAAATACACGTGCTGATGTTAGCTGCCAGCATTTTTTAAACAAGTTTATTTGATTTTTCATGGTTTGTTAAAGGTGACATTTTGTGAAGCCTTCTCTGCTTCCCCCAAGGAAGCTAGATTATGATTCTTTTAAATTCCTGCTTATAGAATAATGATTTTATGTTTTCTATGTAATATAATATAAATTAATGCTAGACTTTACAGTTGTGCCAATATAATATTCTCTACTATGATAATTCTAGTATTAAAAATACTGTCTAGTAGTAAACAGTTTTCTACAGTCTGTTTTATGTGCTTTTATCAATGCTTTCCTCTACCTTTACTGCTATTTTTTTAGAACCATGATATCGATACCTTTGCTAATTTTCTACCTTTTCAGCTAATTTATTAGATATACCTCTCCATCTTTCTCTCTCTTCTTCATCTCTCATAGACACAATATTTAAACTCTGTTCTTCAAGCAAATTTCACTATAAATTGCTTTGTATTTTTCCCAACAAAAGAAGTTGTGGAGTGAAATATTGTGTTTCTTTTGCTGTTACTTGGATTTACTTATTGTTTAATGTTTCTTTGGCCTTGTCGTGATTAATGATTAGAGGGTTAGGAGTATTTCCCTCTACGTGTGAAATGTCTGTGCATAGTTGATCATTATTTTCGAGTGCAGGAAAAGATTAGAAAATGCTAACACCTTCTAACACTTGCTAAACCTTGCTCAGGTAATATCTGAAACGTTAGTCATCCTATTTTCCAATCCTTCCTCTATTTATTAAGTCAATCCTAACTCTTGCTGCCATTCATGAGAAGCTAGAGTGAGGATCCATCATCTAATTTAAATCTCAGTGATGTCATTTTTATCTTCCTTGTGTTTATATTTTTCCATCCTCTGTTTTCTTGCCTCAGACTAGAAGGTGCTCTTTCTGTATCAGTGGATTGAGGCATGGGTAAATGGCTTCAAGTGAGTGGACTTATTTGGGGAAGTTGGTAATTTATTACGGTTTAGGAGACCATGAGTGTCAAGTATTTAGTGTTTACAGGCTAGTTTTGTAGATTGATTATGAATTCCTTCCCACTTTAAATGATTGCTCGTGGTGTTTATTCTCTTTGGTCAAATTTCACTCACCAGGTATATAACCATATTTCATGCAATTTTTTGCAGTGTCAATGGATTGTCCCCTTCGTTGATTAAACACATCATCTTGAATCTTGATATCAAATAAGCATATAGATTAGTTATTTGTTTACTCTAGAAAAATTAAACAGTCCAGCTGGGGGTCATTTTGTAGGTCTAGAAAGTATTGAATGGAAATGGTGAAACCTGATGAATAATATGTGAGAAATTGATGGATTTATTTTTAAATGATGTGAAGTGGCAATGGTGGTTGTATTATTGTATATTCTGGAAGTGGAAAAGAAAAGTTTGGTTGGACGTAATTGTAGTAGAAGACTTATTCTGATCAAACACATCTGCATCTCTAGATATTGTTCCCCTGTTGTGCTTGTCAGTAGTTACTCTTCCTAGCCATGTTGCCCTTGACATGCTGCTTACAGTTCACAATAACAAGAGCTATTAATTTTTATATTAAAGAAAAAATTGTGAGAGTTGACTTCGGACCTCACTCTCTTCCACAAATTTGTATGCTTATGCATCTCTAATGTCTTCTCTCCCTGACCCCTTCCCCTGTGCAAATATCTCCAAATGATTAAGAACATGTTTGGTTTCACATTCCACCCAAAACCTTGCTTGTGTAAAAAAAAAAAAAAGACCTCAAACATGGTGCAATCATGTTTGCCACAATTTTAGGCAAAATTAAGTTTGTTCTCAAACGTGTTTTGACTCCTTAAATACAGAAGCAACATTTTTGTTACTTTTGCGTTAGGGAAAAAATGTTTGTATATGTTTTGACAAAATAACTTAACCATCTAGAAGTATACCATCCCATTCATATTTTATTATAATACTCCTTTTTTTTTTAATTACAAATTCCAAAGTTGTTTTGATTTATATCATCCTAGCAACATTCATTTTGACAAATTCACATTTTAGATAAAAGTATCTAAACATAAATATGTTACACCAAACACAATTCTGACCAAAATCAAATTTGCAAACTCTAATCCAAACATGCACCGATAAATTAGGTTCATTTTCAATTGTGCTTGACTCAACGAAACTGTTACTTGCATATGGTTCTACATGCAATATTTGGATTGTCAGTGGAAGTGTTTGCATTGAATTTAGCATCTGGGCATGTCTTTAGGTGATGCATTGTGATTTTCCTTTACATAATTATTTTGAATAGATTTGTATGAGTGATATGTATGGTACATATTAATATGATAATGCAAGACTTGGCATGCTCAATTGAACTTGTTTTAACCAAGATAGTTTAGATGCCATTGAGTATTTAATAACAGTTATATTTTTTGTTTTAATGTTATTGCATACACTGCAATCATGATCAACCATTTGTCTCTTGAAAATGTTCTTGTTGATTGGAATCAGATTTGCTTGATTGTTAATTTTCACTTTTTATATTAAATTTCTTCAGTTCAGATGCTCTTTTGCCTTGCAGGTTGTGAATTATTTGCAGATCTGACTTATATACACTGTCTATTTTGACACCCGGAGATTGCAATTGATAGTTATGGGGCATAGGCACTTATATAACCCATCTTCGTTGTTTGAGGGTGAGCCTGACCAGAATTGGAATCATATGCATACTGATCAACATTATGTGCACCTTGGTAATGTTAAATAATATATATTACTCACTTCTGCTTATATTTTGGTTCATTAGTTTTTTTCTTCCCAATTTTAACTTAGATGATTGCATCAGCACCATATTACTTATATTAGACGGATCTCTAATGCAGGTAGGACTAGCACTTCAGAGAATGGTTCTTTTATTTATCCTGCAGAAAATATGTCTGTAGATGGCATTTCTTTCCCCTCTCATTGGAACTCTTCCACAAGATCAAATGGATATGCATCCTCAAGTCTCAACATTGATTTACCTCCTCACCAGTCAGATGCATCAGGCTCTTCTAATGATCATTTTGTGCATTCGTCTAGTGCTGGAGCATTCTTTGCCATGCCTGAAAATTATGTACACCAGCCTTCTTCCAATTATGACAGACAAACATTTCATGTTGATGGTGGTTTTATTGATCTTACAATTGGAAATGGACAAGGGCCTCACAAGCGTAAGAGTCCTGGAATTCCTTCAGTCTATGAGAGAGGTGGTACAAGTAGATACTTTAATGCTGGGAGTTCATCTGATCTTCCTATATCTTCAGAGTTATGGCAGGAGAAGCCAAATATTGATTCTCAATATATGCCCTGGGATCATTTTAATATGACCCCCGCATTCAGGGGTACTGGCCTTTCAATAAAGGGTGAGGGTTCTCTGCGGAATGTGAGGAGTCGTTCTGCACTTGATTTGGATTCTGACCTGGCTAGGACCCATTTATCAGGTAATCATTCGCACAACTACCCTACTGTTCCACCAGTGGGCCATTCTGGCATGGTGGATCTTTCTAGTCAGACTTCTACTACATTGACAAGAGATTGGAGCCAAATGAACATACCTCCAGCTAATGGAAGGGTGTTGTTACCAGGTTAGTAATGATAATAAATATTAGTATCAATACATACACATTCCCTTCTCTTTGCCTTTATATCTAAAAACATCTTACTTAAAATGCAGATGCAAGTGCTTTTGGTCTTGAGACTGGTCATTTCCTTGTTGGAAGTGGTGCTACTACTAGCAATCCTTCGGTTGATATTGGGGGTTTCCATCATGAATTTGGTACCAGCAGAAATCCTACTGCTCCTCAAAGTTTTCATAATAATCCATCTCAGACTGCTAGGGGAATTCGAAGCAACTATTCCCAGAGATCCACTCCAACTTTTAGGGCTTCTTCAAGCTTGCACTTGGGACATGGGACATCTGATGATGGATTGCCTATGGTAGCTGAAAGTTACCCTTCTAGACATCCAAGGCCATTGAGCACCATTGGCTGGCGGAATGGTGATAGAAATGGGAGGTCAAGAATTTCTAGTGAAAGATATCGATCATTGACTGAGGAAAGTGGTCTCCATGATCGATTTTCTTCTGAGGTATCTTTCAGTATCTCAAGGAACTCTATTTTTGTGTCGGTATTAATGGAAGGATATAACTATGAAATGTTGGGAATTTGGAACACCTGCTTTTGCTTGTGCACCATAGACATAGTAAACCTTACGTAAGGATACGTGGTTTATTTGCAAAATCTAAGCAAATTACTCCCAACATATTCCTTTGAAATAGTTGCAGTATTCATTAAGAGCAGCTAAATTATTCTTTCTACCATTACTACCTCTGGCTGACTCATTTAAATTTTGTATTTTTTTATTTTGGCTTTCAGGGTTTCATGGTTGTTGAGCGTGCATCACTGTATGGTTCCAGGAATATGCTTGATCAGCACCGAGAAATGAGGATGGACATAGATAACATGAGTTATGAGGTGATTATTAGTTTATAACTGTTTCTTGCGTTACAATTAATATTATACTATTTTTTTTAATTATTTTGATGATTGGTTTGACCAGGAACTACTTGCACTTGGTGAGAGGATTGGCTATGTGAACACAGGACTCTCTGAGGACGTGCTTTCCAAATGTTTGATGGAAACAATACATTGTTCATCTGAACAAAATCAAGACGAAGGAAACTGTGTAATATGTCTGGTATGTTTTTATTCTTCCATTCATAGTAAATATTTTAGATATCTTTGGATAATAACATGAACCCGGTGATTACGAGTTTTTATTGAAAATTGCAGGAAGAGTACAAGAACATGGACGATGTTGGAAAACTTAACACTTGTGGACATGACTACCATGTGAGCTGCATCAAAAAGTGGTTGTCTATGAAGAAATTATGTCCTATCTGCAAAGTATCTGCTTCGCCTGAGGATACGAAGGATGAATAAATTCTACTGTAGTATAATAATTAATCTCATTTTGTGTATATATTTTGGACATCTCTCAATCTCAAAATGGAGGAAACAAACTTGCTTTTGGAAATGTTGTAACAGGAATGCTACTTTATGTCAATGTATTTGTTTTCGGCTTCGATATCAATTACGCGAAGCCTTGAAGTTGTGGTTTTTTAAGTGGATTTCATTTACTCATGTTTGATACGAGAAAATTTAGTTTTTATAAATAATTGTAAAAATGTTGATTTCTTTTGTACTTTTCCTTTAAAAATTGTTATTTTTATATTTTTATGTTTAAATATTTTAAAATAGGCCAGATAAAAACAGCTTTTTAGTTTTATAAGTATTTGTAAAAATAATAACATTTTTTCTAATTAAACATTTAAATTACAAAGAGAAGCAATGTATGTGCCACAATAACTAAGAAGCAATGTAAGATAAATAGATATAAATGTTAGTCGGAACTTGTATTTCATTATTTTTTTTCTTCCACTCAATTCACATCCATTTTCAAATAATCATGTCACACGATAACAATCAAATATATTTCATTTACGTGAATGTATAATGTGTGTAAATATAGGAAGTGTGAAAAACTCGTCTCATACCATTTATATTAGATTTTTGTACTCCCTTAATTTTTTTTTTAACATTTAAAGTTTATTTACAAAAATTAAGAATGTGATTGATATTTTAGTTTTTAAAGTATTTATTACTTATTTTTCTATTATACTTTTTAAGTTACTAGAAAAGAAATAGGTACATTAAAAATAAATAAACATATTATTCAGTAAATATATATTAATTATTAAAGATTAAAAAAATTAATTAGTGATTGATTTTTAAAAAATGATAAAAAAAAATATTAAAAAATAATATCAAAATGACTATTAAAAAAAAACAGAAGGAATATAAGAAAAGTTCTTATACAAAAACCTCATCTCATACCTTTTTGAGGCAGTCGTGTATTATAATTTATACAGTGTTTACTTAGTTAAACACGAAAAAGTCATTGAAGGTTCTGTTTAACTTTGAAAAAGTTTTGTCACTAATCAGAACAATTTATCATTTCAGTGCCATTCTTTCTTCAGCAAAAGTTTGTCTTTTGTTTAAAGCAGATTTCCACCACAGTTTTTGCATGAAACAAACGCTTGCTAGATAGATATTGGGTCGTGATGAAATTAAAACACTATCTCTGTTTAAAGGGTTTTTATAAATAAAAAGAATACTATTATATCGTTCAATAATATTATCTTAATCCTTTATGAAGAAAGCATTAAATGGATAGTTAAATATATTTAACCTCTTAAAAATATATAAAAAATATATATTTGATAGTAAGATATTAGTAGGATCAATAAGAAAACAAGTTTAATTGAAATAAAATCATAGCGTAAAAGATTTTTAATTTGTAAATCAATCATGAACTTTTTTATTATAGAAAATTATTAATTTTTATGACAAGTCAATTGCTTTGAACATCGTCCCTAAAATAGCATTAATTGATTGTTAAAATTATTTACATCAAAGTGGTGTAAAAAAAAAAATACTTAAAGAGGGATGAAAAAAAAAAACTCTGGTGTTTAAGAAAATTTAGAATTGTTCAAAATAAAGAAATATAACCCTGATTTTTCCACATAGATATTTTGTTAGACATGCTTCCATTATTTCTCAATAAGAGGTCTCCACTGGGGAGGGAGATTTAGAAATGCATACACCATATATGTGAGCATGACAAGCAAAAAGTCTGCAACCATATTTTCTTCTCGGATATTCTCACTCCTATTAAAGAATTTTTTTTTTGAATATTTTTTCTTTATATTAATCAAATTAGTAATAAAAGGATATTTAAATAAAAAAAATCCTTAATCTACAGAATAAAAAATTCTTAATCTACAGACACATGAGAGTGACAAAAACCATCCCTTCCTAAACTACGAGGATCTTTGCTACTGAGCGTGGCCAAGGGAATTCATTATAGTGCCTAATCGGGTAGTGTATATTTTTATAAAGTAAAAATTTATGCCGGTACGTATCCGATAAATTATAAATGTTAATCATGTTAATCCTACACATTAGAAACATTAATTTTAAGGCTAAATGTGAGTGATATTATGATTCCGCAGGGATAAATTAATATAAATTTTTTACCACACTGATCCAATGGACCGAGAGCCTTAATGCCGTTTATGTTTTGACGCCATGTATCTCTCATGATTTCTTTCAGAATGGAAATTTATTATAATATATGATTGATATTGTAGTCAATCTCCTAGTCCTTAATTAATTAATTTGTCTTAATGTTCAGTCGTACGTACACTCTATGCTAAAGTAGTTGGATGTTATGTTCTTGCTCATTTCTATCCTAATGCCAAGAACAAAGACTAGTAAAATCTTTAGTTTATAGATTGAATATAGTAGGTAGATGTGATTATCAACATAATTGGAAGTCAAGTTGGTTTTTGTCCTCTTTTTTAAAAATATATAAATTTGTAGTCTTTCACTATCAGTGTTTATCAATGAATTTCATTTATTTTTTATTTCTAAGCTAGGACGACGAAAATTGGAAACTCAGTACTTGAAAGGTGGAAGCTGAATAAAGATTTTCTCTGTCTATTACTTCTTTGTTCAGCTATGGATTGAAGGTATGTTGTAATAGTTATATTTGAAAAACTTAGTTTACAAGTTAATTAGCTTATAGTTTATAAGTTATCAATAGAAAGGTTATAAGAGTTTAATTTATTGAATTAAAAGCATTTGTTAAAATTAGTTGTTGAACTGGTCGCTAAATGCAAACTAATATAAAATTAAGATACATTTTATATAGTTTTTTTTCTTATAAATTATATTTTATTTTATAAATTCAAACATATTTTTATTAGGTATTATAATTTTAAATATATATTTTAAGTAATTATAGTTTTATGTACTTTATTATTTAAATTATTGTTAATTTTTTAAAGATAAAATATTTTATTAAAATATAAATAAGTAAAGAACCGTATTGCTTATAAAAAAAAGTGCAATAAAATAGAAAGCATAAAATAGGAATAAAAAAATATTTAAATATGTTTTTAGTTCATGTAAAATGAATAAGTTTTTATTTTAATTTTTGTTAAAAATTATTTATTTTTCATTCTTTTAAAATTTGAAACTAATATTTCAGTCTCTATTATATTAATATAATCATTCCTAATTACTTATTTATTTATTAAAATCTTAAGTAGTCATTCCAAGTATTATCTATTATTGTTAGTGATATTATATCAATGTGTGACATTTCTAAAGTTTTGTATAGATCATTAAAACAAAGTTATTTATCTATTTTAAAATGATAAGTTAGAGACAAAAAATAACTACTTTAGAATTTAGAGAGATGAAAATCAAATTAAGAAATTATTTTATAGAGACAAAGACAAAATTTACTCATTTTAAAATGACAAAAAAATAATATTTATAAATTTTAGAACAATAAATAATAATAAAAATTAATTAAAAATCAAAAATAAAAATTTTCTCATTTTACATTGATTAAAAATATATTTCACCTTAAAAAATCTTTAAATTTATAAGCTAATGAAATTATCATCTTAATTTCATCAAATCAAACTTATAAAGTACCTAAGCAATAGAATCATATCACTAGACCAAATGCCCCAAGTGGCAGCTCATCTAAAATCAAATAATAAGTTTCCTAACATTTTTACTTTTCACACAACCAATTTCATGATATCTATGGTGTACATAACTTTTTTAATTATTCATCCGAATTAAATTCGATGACAACAGTTATATTAACTCCTACACTTAATTTATTTAACCAACAGAACTAACTCTCTTGATTAACATACTCTTTATACATTGGTGTGTTTGACAAAGTTAATGACAAATTACATGAAGGTTAAAAGCTAGCAAAAAGTTAATAAGCGATTTACTTTAATTAAAATTATTTGATAAATTTAGCTGTTGAACTATAAGATAAGTGCAAAATGATATAAAAGAGTATTTTAATTACTCAATAATTACTTAAAATTTGGAAACTGTATATATTTTTAAACAGTTATCACTTTTATATTTTAATTTATTTCTTATAATTTATCTTCTTAAAATTTATGATAATAACTTTTTTATTTGATTACCATTTTAAAATATTTTTAGAAAATGAAATGGGATAGTATAAATGGATTTATATGATAATCTTAATCATTTTAAATTTTAAAGAAATGATATTTGATTAGAAATGAGAGAAAGAGTGTTTAGAGTTTTTTCTTTGGGTATCATGATGCTGACGAAAGTATATGTCGATTTCGCTGAAAATTAATCTTCCTTAAGACCTTGAGTGCATTAAAATTATCTCCCTCAACTTTGTTATTTTTTTTATCAAACTTAAAACTCAAATTTGAACTCTTGGGGATTGAAAACCAAACGCAACACCAATCAAATCAATCGGTGCTAGTAGTATTTAGAGTTTTTGAGCATAAAAAGGTAAATAAATTTTTGATAAGAAATGAGAAAAGAAAAGGCTAGGAGCCTATAAGCTCAAAGCTTCAAATTGTAGATGAAATAAGTTTAGAAAACATTATTAGATAATGAAACAAGCATACTAAATAATTCTACTTTGATCAAATAAAAAATTTAAGTCAATAGTTAAAAGCTAAGGTAATTTTAAAGTATTTATTTTACCATTTTTATTAAAAAAAATTATAAGTAATTTCACTACAAAAATATTGTCATATAATAATAATAAACACTCTATAGTGACACTATACATGTCATTAAAAATTACTTTTACCCATACAATAACTATAATATATATTGGTATATTATTAAAAAGTGTGAGTATAAGCTATAGTGACACATAAAATATGTAGTTAAATCTCATTCAAAATCAACACTAAAATTGTGTGTCTACATATATTGTACCTATAATGACACTTTTTATATGTCACTATATGTAATATTTCTTGTAGTGATTTTTACCAAAGATAATTATATTCGAATTAAATAAGATTATCATAGATAGTAAAAATTTCTTTCTAAATATTTAATCCAATTATATGCTTAAGAGTCACACTCAATCAAATTGAAATAACTTAAGTCAGTCATGCGTGTTCGTTGGTATTTATTTTGCCATTTGAAATTAAAAAAAAATATTAGTTTTTTTTTAAATGTTCCTCACTGTTTGGTGGTCTTATTTTTTATATAAGGGAAAAACTCGATGTAAGAGAATAGATCCTACACTGTAGGAATTCTCAACTAAATAGTAAAATTAGTTTGTCCAAGATGAAGATAATATATATATATTACTTTTTATACTTATAGTGTAACTTTTGAATGACACAAATTAATTTAGATCACTTTGATTTGAATCATATATATGATCAAGATATTATATACATTTATTTTTTTGCGTGGACTACTTACAAGAAGAATCATCCTTTCAATTTCGTCTGTTGACGGGAGTCTTGAACCAAACCGTGTTGTGTTGTGCCCTAATTTATAAGGTACTAGCTTCCATGGAAATTTTTTCATAGAAAATGAACAAAACTGACAGGAATTAAAAAACAGTCAAAAAGTCACGTATACACATCACTTAATGATTTCAGATCGACAACATTCATGAAAAGACATGAGTGGCGCATATTAAAGTAGCATGTGAGTAGATTGAAAATTTGTCCAACCTTGAAAACTAAGGAGAGAGTGATATATACGAGTGAGACAGAATCATGGTCCCTTACATAAATTTATATATAGTTTCAACTGCACAAAACAACAAATTATTAAAACGAGAACTTAAAGGTGGACATGGCAGCATATGCATCTGGTTATTCTCTAGAACACACTCCAACATGGGCAATTGCTCTTGTTTCCTTCATTCTTATCTCCATCTCAATCATCTTGGAGCATCTCATTCATCTCATAATCAAAGTCAGAACTCAGAACCTTGTATAATGTTGATTTCCTTATACTATGATTTGTTACGTTATAATCTGATTTTTTTTTCTTATATGGTTGAAGTGGTTGAGGAAACATCGGAAGATAGTTGAAGCAATAGAGAGGCTTAAATCAGGTTTATTTATTTAATATGATTTATCATTTATTTATCTAAATAATGAATAATATTATCATATGTAAATAAGGTTTCTTCGGTGTTTGCTGCAGAGTTGATGATCTTAGGATTCATGTCGCTTTTGTTGACAGTAACTCAAGATGCCATAATTGAAATCTGCATACCAATGAAGACTGCAGATACTATGCTTCCATGTCGTAAACGTACTACAAATGATACCGCAACAAATTTGGATTCTTGCAGTGCCAAAAATGTATGTATATATATATGATATAACTTCTCTACGTGATCAATTAATGATTTAATTCCTAAAGTAAGAAATGTATGAAAGATGATGCTGCGAGTGGTAACAGATTTTCTTGTCTCTTAATCAAATTAACTCGTTTTTTTTTTTTTTTTCATGCAGGCAAGTAAGGTTGCTTTAGTATCAAAACATGGAATTCATCAACTTCATATGTTCGTTTTTGTTCTAGCTGTCATGCAAATCGTGTACAGTTTTCTCACCGTTTCTCTGGCAAGGGCCAAGGTAAGAATTACGGATTATATACACTTTCTCAAGTTGCATTTACTTAAAATATAATATATAGTAAATAACTTTTACATGTATCGTTAAATTAAATGAACTATGTCCGACATTTGTTAATTAGTATAAATTATTCATGTTGTTTTCACCCAGAGACAATGTAATTTAGAGATTGATTATTGTTTATTCGTTTTTTCTTTAAAAAAAAACTTAATGCGTACTATTAGTTATAAAATTATTTGTGTACTTCTTACTTAAACTTAAGCTTATGGGATAGTTTGCTGATAAAAATATTCACATATAAACTAAATCTCCGTATTTATGTATTTTCCAGTTAAGTCATCTATGATTTTCCAATATCATTTAATCACACGTACATGCAGATGAGGCACTGGAAAGCTTGGGATGAAGAGACTCAAACAATCGAATATGAAATTGCCAACGGTAAAGTAGTTCTTGAACAAACAACTTAATAAAATAATATTACATGTCTTGTTTTGATGAGCTTTAATTTATCATAAAATTTATTAATACCAGTTAAAAAAAGACACTTATATCTTCTGGATAAAAAATAAATAAAAAAAAAAGTTTAACAGACTTTACTAAAGTGGCTAATTAATCAATTCTTTTTAGTGAAAATTAGTTATCAACAAATTTGGTTGATATTTTCACCACTAGTTAAAAAAAAAAAAAAAAGTTATTATAATTAAGGGGGTGGTGTTTCAAATCATTTGAGAGAAAAAAACAATTGTCTAAAAAGATTTATTATTAATATAGATGCATTAAAAAAAATCGTAGACTTAATTGATTACTTACTTTTGTATCAATTAATATATTGATATATGACTCGAAAAACAAAAATTCCATAGAAGCTAATACCCCCCTACTTTAAGTATTCTACATTGAGTAATTATACATTTGGTCTCATCAGCCTTGATCTAGCTCCTTGTTTTGATGAACATACTAGCTAGTTCTGATGAATTTTGAAAATTGTTTAATTGGTGAATTTTGATTTTACTTTGGGGGTGCCATGCGTGATCACGAGCCTACCATGATTTATTTATTATTTTATTTTTGCGTTGAGAAATTGTTACTTTGTAATTTAATGTACAATCTGTTCTGGAATGCTCTTCTACTATTGAAATTAATTTACAAATTAGGTGACCACTATATTTCATGTCGAGATTCAGCAAGCACTTAAAAATATAAAAATTTGATAGAATTCATTAAAAATTTAGTGTGTATTTAAGCGGGCGTTAACAAATTTTGAATGAAATTGATTTTTATTAAAATTATTTTTAAAGTGATGTAATTTATGTTTTGATATATTTATATTTTAATATTAACTAATAATAAAATTTAATATGTTTTTAATAGGAGAAAAAATGACTAATATTTGTTGAAGATCATATATAAATACATACACAAGTAATTCAATATAAATTTAATTAAATACAAAATTTACCTAAAGTTGTTTTAACTTAAAATCAATTTCAAATTCAAATCAATTTCTCAATATCGAATCAAACACATGAACATTTATTCTAAATCACATTAGTGGATTTTTTTTTTGTTTGTGATTTTAGATACTTAGTGTTGAGTTGAAAAATAAAGATTTATTTTTATAGCAAAAAGGGGGAAAAAATGCTTGAGCGGTGCTTCTATTTGCAAATCTCATGATTATTTATGAATGTTAAAATACTTGTTATTTCCTATATATATATATATATATATATATATATATATATATAAAAAATTGGAACTGATTAAATGGAAGTGATCTTATATATATATATATATATATATGTATTCCTAAAAATATAATTATATACCTCAGAATAAATGTTCTCATTTTCTAATAATAATGAAAGAATAACGCTAAATCTTACAAACTTAAATTCGCAAAAGGTCACATGAAAGATTAAAACCAAGAAATCCCAAGGATGTTATAATTCGTAAACTGATTTTAAAGAGCATTTTATATCAAGGATGATGACGGGTTAAGCAAATGATATATTTTTTTATCAGTAAATGATATGCTAGAGAAAGAAGTGAAAAAGAAAAAAAAAATGAGGTAAAAAAAAAATGATAACTTTATATTACAGCTCTAGTGCTCTACCAGCACTAAAAGGAATAGAAGTATGAGATATGTAAATAAAGAGTGTTCTCATATTCACTTAAAATAATAGTAGTGGTGATAATTTATACGAAATTTAATTTTATATATATATATATATATATATATATATACAAAATATAAAAAGGGACATATTTATTTAATAATTAAGAAAATTTATAATTAATAAATATATCATAGGGTCTAACGTCGCTCAATTTGTCATTACTTATTTTGATTTTCCTTGCATACACACAACAAAAGTACGCTGTTGAATGGATTTATTATCAAGTTCCTCCATATATTTTTTTCATATTTAATAAAAAAAATTATGTTTTGTTTCTTCGTTAAATTTCTTTAATACCAGGAAATGGCGTCATAGATGCCTTAAAAGTTAAAGCTAGGTCTGAAATAAAGTCCAGGTATGGACCAAAGATTTTAATGGCAATGACTCATTGAGACCCTGTTTTTCAGAAAGCCCCATTAGTATGTTGATGTTCTTATCAACACTTGCCGTTGAATTAATGACGATAGCGATACTCATTGTTGCTCTCCATGAACTCATGCAACAGAATATTTTGTTGAATATTAATAAAATCTCTTGTTGATTTCACTAATATAGAATAAACTTTGTTTAAAATAGTTGATTAGAGATTTTACCCATTGACCCTTTTCAACATTTATGGTTAACAATCAGACCCTAATAGATTCAGATATTCGAGGCAAACAACATTCGGAAGACGACACATATCTACTCGTACGGCATCACCAGTATATGTTTGGATTGTAAGGCCTTTTTTTCTTTTTCTTTTAATACTACAACAAAAAACAAACTATTGATTTGGCACATTGGCACCATTTCTATAATTCTCCAATAAGCTATAGTCCTATTAATATTATATCTTAATATGTAACGTGGAAATGACTAACTTGGTTGATTTGGTTTCAAATGAATAATTGATAAGATCAAGGCTATGGAGCAGAGTTTTTTACACATGGCTAACGTTGTTCACCAAATTGTGAAATTTGAGCAGAAGTGTTTTTTCAGACAGTTCTTCCATTCAGTAGAAAAAGTTGATTATCTCACCCTGAGGCATGGTTTCATATCAGTTGAGTACATATAACAAATCATCCTATCTCAGTAGCCAACAAACGTCAAACTCCATGATTATCACTGTTATTATTCTCTATCTTTAAACCTTTCATTAAGATGTTCCAACATCCATGCACCTTCAGGCACACTTTTCAGCTAGGAACAGCAACTTCGATTTCCAAAATTACATTGAACAGTCACTTGAGGAAGATTTCAGAATCATAGTGAGCATTAGGTTATTACTTGCCCACTCGATCATGTGTTTCATCAACTAAGACACTTTACTCATCTAATCACATGTTATGTGTCTACCCGGCCTGGCAGCCCTGTGATGTGGTTCACCGTTGTTATTTTTTTGCTCGTGGATGTACATGGTATGTTTCCCTCTTTCTTTCTCATTTTTTCACTAAATTGTACTTTTGATCACCTTTAATTCTTAATATATAATTTCAATTTTTTATTTTTAATCACAATTTTGGTCCAACCATCTAATTCACGTGCATTTAGTTAGTAATATTTCATGTTCTCGTGTTATTAAAGCATTACAGATAATAAAACTTAACGGTTGGATCAAAATTACATTTTTTTAAATGAGGATCAAAATTACATAATTAAAAATAAAGGGATTAAAATTGAGAATGAAGAATTATAGTGTAATTTACCCCCCCCCCCC